TCAATAAGTACATGCAACTACAAGTTTTAAAAATACTGTGAAGTATTATTGTTTAGTGAGGTTTTTTTCCCCCACACTCATCTATTCCTTCAAAAAGAAGCACTAGGGCCTCCCTGGTGGTGCAAGGGGTTAAGCACTGCACTATGAGGCAATCCACAGCCTCTGCAGCATGAGTTCGAACCCTGGCCAGCCAGAGAGAAACACACATGGCAAGGCAGATCGCTCCTGTCTCGCCCCTGCTCCCCTCACAGTGTATTTCAGTCAGTCGGCCTGTTCTGTTCTCCACTTTGTCTCTGGTGGATCCTCTCACCCCCCGCATCTCTGGCCTGTACCCCAGCTCTTGTATGTATAAATAAATAAAATCCTAAAAAAAAAAAAAATCACTACTTGGGGCCTCCCCTGGTGGCGCAGGGGTTGAGTGCTGGGCTGCGAAGATGCCCATAGCCTCTACAGCGCCGGTTCAATCCCCAGCCACCGGCGAGGATCCCACATGGCGCGCAGACCTCTCCTGCCGCGCCCGCTGCTCCCCTCAGCAGTGAATTTCGTCAGTCTACCTGTTCTGTTCCCTGCTCTGGCTCTGGTGGATTCTCTCACCCTCCCGCACTTCTGACTCTACCCAGTGCTTGTATGAATAAATAAATAAATCTTAAAAAAAAAAAAATCACTACTTGTGACCTTGGGCAAGTTTTTATTTATTAACCTCTTCAATTGCAAAATAAGCAAATGAATACCTGTCACAAATGGTTATTGAGGGAATTAAATAAGTAAAAGTCTTAGAACCATGCTTGCATAAAGTTCTCAAAAGCTTACCAATATTGTCATTTCCCAAGATGACATATATAGCAAACTCTGAAAAGCAATGACTATCACATAAGAAAATAAGTAAATGGGTTATAAAAAGAAAAGCCATCACAGTTGGTACACTCTTATTTCTGACCAGTGTAGGCAGGATCTAATATTACTGAATGCTTTATGAGGCACTATCCTGAGCTATTAACAAATATTAATCACCTCCATTGAATAACTCCTCCCAGGTCCCTTCCCACATTAACTCTGGCTTTTCTCAAGTGATTTACTTTGATCAGTAGAGCACTAGCAAACATCGAGCAAGCTGAGACTTGAAGTGTGCTTACACACTGGAACTTGCCCCTCTTGCTGCCGGAAACCCAACTATCACCCTGTGAACAAGTTTGGATTAGCCTCCTGGAGGATGAGAGGCCACATTAAAACAGTCACCCAGTTAGAGGCCAAAGACATGTGAGTAAGACCATCCTAAAGTATAGGACCTAGGCAATTCAATCCCAGAAAGTAAGCCGAGACCATAAGAACATTCCAGTCAACCACAAATCATGTTTGTAGATTTTGATCACTAAATTTGAAGGTGGCTATATTATGTAACAAAAGCTCACGAATAGAGCTACCATGACTGTAGACATTATTTCAGTTTTACAAATCAGGAAAGAAGATTTCCAGAACTAGTAAGTCACTTTCGATCCAAAGGCTCACCCCCTAAACCCACCATGTCCCTCTGCATGCCATACTTTGAGGTTCTAAATGAGAAGGTCCTAGATAATTTTATTCTACAACCATTATTTAGGCAGTAATCTTTCCTCTGTAACAGGAGTCAGCACACTATGACCCAAGGGCCAAACTGAACACACTGCCTGGTTTTTGTAAGTTCTAAGTTAAGAATGGTTTACTGACCTATGCTTTTAATTTATTTTTTTCTTTTATATATTTTTATATTGTTCTTCATTTTTATACAACATATGCATTATCTTCTTGGGTATAGTCCCCATGAAATTCCCACCACCAATTCACCCGTGTACCATCATCATAGTCCCCTATACTCTTTCCCGCCGCTGTTTTAAGAATGGTTAAACATTTTTTAATGGTTAAAAATAAAATCAAATTTCAGTATTCATTAATAAAATGTTACTTAGAATATAGCCGTGCTCATTCATATATTATCTATGGCTGTTTTTGCATATCACAGCAGAGTTGGGTGGCAACAACTGAGACCATATGGACTACAAAGTCTGTAATATTTTACTATTTGGTTCTTTATTTTTAAGAAGCATACGGATCCTTACTCAGAATTACTTTCCTGGGATTATTTTTATTGTAAACAAAGGATTTTGCCTGGCTTAGTGAGAAGTAGATTTTTAAAAACTACTCCTTTTCCTTTAACTTAAATTATTTCACTATGTCATTTCTCTTGCTCATCCTTTAATTTTTATCTTTGTATGGCTTCTGTTTGCCCAAGAAAGACAGCTAAACTAGTCTATACGCTATAAAAATAGTAATTCAAATCATAGATAAGTAAAATGAATTCCACTTATATGCCACACTTTAAGGTAGGATATAGAAAATTAACAAACTACAATTTATCTTGTTCTCAGAAAATATTCAGAGTATCTATGAGAAAAGTATTTATTTATTTATTTTTTAAAGATTTATTTATTTACTTATACAAGCACTGGGTACAGTCAGAAGCACGGGAGGGTGAAAGAATTCATCAGAGCCAGAGCGGGGAACAGAACAAGCAGACCAACGAAATACACTGTTGAGGGGAGCAGAGGGCACGGCAGGAGAGGTCTGCGTGCCATGTGGGACCCTCGCCAGTGGCCGGGATCGTACCAGCACTGCAGAGTCTGTGGGCACCTTCGCAGCCCAGCGTTCCACTGCTGCGCCACCAGGGGAGACCCAAGAAAAGTATTTAAAAACTGTGATCTTATATTGGTCAAATGGAAGAACATGTAGTAGAAAAACACAGAGAAGAGGTATTTTATTCAGAAGACTAGTATCTCAGACCTGTGTAATAACTGTGCAGATATGGGTTTCCCTTTTACATCCCACAGAGATTTCAGGAGAGAAGTTGTTTTATATATAGTCTTTCCTCTTTTGTGAGATTATTCTCCAATATTATCCTGCAACAGAGAATTAAGAATTCCAAAACTAATACTATTCTGCCTTACCATTCTGTTGCTTACCATTCTGACCTGTTTAACCAGTTCAAGGGACACAAATTGAACTAAACATTTAATTTCCTTTTAAATCAGAGAAGAGGTTAACTTCAATTTACTTCCCACTTTTTAACAGTTTTTCTTACTATAATATCCACACAGTAATAACTATAAGTCTTGGTGAAGATCAACCAACTCTCTCATTTGCTATTAACATAAGAAGTTGCCATAGAAGCTAACTGCTCTCACCCTCAACATTAAAAACAAAGGCTTGAAAGGCATTAGGTAGATGCTCCTAATAACCTATGTAATTGAAGGCTCTTAGAACATAAGGCTCTTAGAAGATAAGTTATATGTTCAATCTTAACTTCATTTAACTATTTGTGAAGTAACTGAATCCACACAGAAATATTTACATGTTAGTTGAATTTAATATGCTAAGAAAACAAATTTGTTTTCCTTTATTTTTGAGTCTATTTAGGGATTTTTATACCTAGGGTATAAAAAGGGTTTTCAGGCTAGTCTTCTAAGTTCTATTATTATGCAAGTAAACAAAGATCTCAAGTTTTAACTGGTAAACCTGCAATGACAATCAATCCATGAGTCAATTAGGTTGTTTGTCAGGGTCTCTCTAACATACAATAAAAATAACATCTAAGGAAGCTAGTTCTATTCTAATAGAGTTTCAAAGAAACAGTAGCTGTACAATGTAGCTCCTTTATTTTCTAAATATAGAACAGTATTAGGGTAATCAGGAACTAAAGAATGGAAACAGTAATTTGGATATGTTGATTAGGACTTGCCTTGGCTAAGAACTTAGAATTTTTACCTTAAGAGGTCAGCAGTGTAAGTTGGCCAAATGAAAGCCTTCTTCCTGAGGAAAAGCTGAAATATATTTAACATATTGCTAAATATTCTCTACTACTTGCTATTTTTTAAGTTAGTGTAGTATAAAAGAGAAAAAGAACTAGGCCTTAATTTTTTGACAGTGGTTGTCTCTGAAGTGAGCATTTGGTAAACAGAATTGAGACTTTACTTTCTGTACTTTTGTCTGATATATACAAATCTTTTAATAGGAAAAAAGCAAAAATAATTACAAGTTTTAGTTTTAGTAAGTAGAACATGTAATTTTTTTTAAAGATTTATTTATTTATTTATACAAGCACTGGGTACTGTCAGAAGTGCGGGAGGGTGAGAGAATTCACCAAAGCCAGAGCGGGGAGCAGAACAGGTAGACTGATGAAGCACACTGCTGAGGGAAGCAGCGGGCACGGCAAGAGAGGTCTGCGCGTCATGTGGGACCCTCTCCATCGGCTGGGGATTGAACCGGTGCTGCAGAGGCTGCGGGCAGCTTCGCAGCCCAGCGCTCAACCGCTGCGCCACCAGGGGAGGCCCAGAACATGTAACTTTTAAGAATTTATTTTTTTCAATTTTTTATTGAAGATAGTATTGGTATATATCATTTGTGTTTATAGATATAAATCTCCCCCTTCAGGTGTCAAAACCTGAAGAACACAAAAACACTAGTTCAAAGGGCTATATGAACTCCTGTGTTCATCACAATGCTATTTACAATAGCTAAGGAAACAACCTATGTGCCCAAATACAGATGAGTGGATCAGGAAGACTTTAGCTTTTGGAGCAGTTTTAGGTTCACAGCAAAATTGAATAGGAAGATATAAGAGATTTACCATATACTTACTCCTTGTCCTCTGCCCCACCCCTGCATCTCTTTAATTATCAGTTTCACCAACCAGAGTAGTGCATTTGTTACAAAGATGACCCTATATACACACATCATTATCACAGAAGTCCATAGTTTATTTACACTGCTGTTCACTCTTGGTGTTGCATATTCAATGGGGAGACATATGTATACTTAAAGGTATCCATCAATATAGCATCATAGAGTATTTTTATCACTATCTTAGACCCTCTTTGTGCTTCATCTATTAATCCCTGGTCTCCCACCCTTTGCAACCACTATCTTTTTACCGCTTCCATGGTTTTTCTTTTTCTAGAATGTCATATAGTTGGACTCATACCATATGTACTCTTTTCAGAATGAAATAAGCTGCTATAAACATGCAGGCAGGTTTTTCAACTTTCAGCTCCTTTGCATAAATAGCAAGAGCATATATAACCTTTTTGAAAATTATGGGTCACCCATCAACATCATGATAATTAAAATGAAAGCATACAGTATACTGCCTAGCACATAAGAAAAGTTCAATAAATTAGCATACTTTCAATTCTGCAATATCTTCTAAAACTACCGAGTTACACATAGCCCTGTATACTCTGTAGTTAATGTTTATTCCATCTCTTCCTTTGCTATCAAGTGCCACTTCTTGGTGCTGTTAGAATACCTACTTTAGAAGTACTTTCTCCAACCTATTACTTCACATCTCTTGCGAACTCTTTGAGCTCCCACAACATCTTTTCTACGCTGATAAAATATGTGAAAACAGGTTGCCCAAAGTCCACTGTATTTTTTTTTTAATAACCAAACACAATTGCATTTTGACTCAGTTATTCAAATTCTCTGTTCTAACTTTAGATGAAATGATGATTCAGCAGTCTAATGTTCATTTGGTATGTGATTCTACCTCCCTTTTCTGGATTTAATGTTCCAAAAAGATGGGCTTATTATGCAAGTACGAGTTCTAGCTCATCATTCTCCCAACCCTTCATTAAACAATGATTATCCCACTTGTTAAAAAGAAAACAATAAAGTAAAGTGCGACTTAGATGCCTTAAAATCTGCTTGTACACATTTTTAAATGGCAACATACAAATGTGGGATGGTTACCTTTAAAAACAAATAACTGTCTTTGTAAGACATTAAAGTTGTTAACTATGGAGTTTACTTTCAGAGGAAATTTGCAAGAGGGAAGTTTGACTTTAACTTACTAGGGTATAGGCGGCTACTTTAGCTACACATCTCTCAAAACAAGTCAAAACAAAAAAATGTAAAACTGCATCACCCCCAGTAAACACATTCAAATACTAACAAGATAACTATGTCTAGTGGCAAAACTATTTAACACAGCTTTAAAAATTTCATAGTCGTTATATCATTTCATCCTGTGAGGTAACCCTGTAAGACAGGGATCCATTCAAAAATAAAACAAAACTAAAATTTAAGAGTTTCAATTACTTGCTCAGACCCATGCATCTAATCATTAATGGCAGAACCGAAAACCAAGAAAACAATGACGTAGTGAAAGAAACTGTTTTGTGCACCAGCCCTTTCCAAATTTAAATCCTAACATTTACTATTTGTAAGACTGTAATGGAAACTAAATGACTGTTATGTTCATCACTGTATTTTCAGTGTCAAGAAGAACACACATCTATAGCAAGAGGCCAGTAAATATATGTTGAATGATTACCAAAAGAAAATCACTTAATTTCTTTAGATCTCTGTTTCCTCATAAAAGGAAACAGTAAATTCCTGACTGTTACCTACTGACAAAATGTGCACACAACACATCTGGTACGTATTTAGGTATTGTTAGACTGATTCCCAGTTTAGTGTTCACTTCTCAAGACCATCCTTTTCTCATTTCTGTGGTTCCAAGGTATTAGCAGAGAACAAAGAGTAGTACAAATGGCAGGCAAGATGCTTGGTAATCAGGATTTGGGAGGGTGAAGAACTAAACTATGTTGGCTTTAGTTTCCCTTATCTCAGTCAAGTACTCAGCTGTTTCATTCTGCCATAGCAATGACAAATGGATCCAGAAGAATCTCACTGATACTTGCTGACTGCTTATTTCAAAACAGAAAATTTTAGTGGGGCAGGATGCTCCTAATCTGTACTCATCAGATGCAAAAACAAAGGGGAAGGGATGCCACCTAAAAGTAAATAAGACAGTAAGAATACTGAAGGGAGAAGATCCAGAATGTTAATACTGATTATTACAACATACCTGTTTCTTGTTACTCAGCATGTTCTTTTTTATAAATATAATCCTACTTGGTATAAAAACCTTTATAAAGTGGTCTTTGGGGCCACTGATAAGTACTACACCAACAGAGATAGAAACAAAAGGTAGCTGCTCATTGACAAGTAGAAGCAAAAATTAAAAACATCCTCAAAAGGATGACACTGTAAATAATACCATTAAGAACATGAAAAGACAACACAAAGATTGGGAGAAAATACCTGCAAATCTTAAGATCTGCCAAGGGACTTGTATTAAAAAATATGAAATATACGGCCTCCCCAGTGGCGTAGCGGTTGGGCGCTGGGTTGCGAAGCTGCCCGCGGCCTCTGTGGCAGCGGTTCGACCCCCGGCTGCTCCCCGGCCACGGGAGGAGGGTCCCACATGGGGCGCTGACCTCTCCTGCCACCCGCTGCTCCCCTCAGCAGTGTGCTTCGGTCCTTCTGCCTGCTCTGCTCCCCGCTCTGGCTCTGGTGAATTCTCTCACCCTTCCGTGCTTCTGACTGTACCCAGTGCTTGTATAAATAAATAAATAAATAAATAAATCTTAGGAAAAGAAAAAATAAAATAAAAAAAAGAAATATATAAAACTTTTACAACTCAATACTAAAAAGATAACCCAATTTTCAAATGGGTAAAGAATCAGAGTAGATATATCTCCAAAGATAAATGATCAGTAATCACATGAAATGATGACTCAATATAATCAGTCATTAGAGAAACACAAATGAAAACTGCAATGAGATACTTCACATAAATAAAAATGATAAATGTTGCTAAAGATGTGGAGAATCTGTAACTCGTACATTATTAGTAGAGAGTTTGTAAAAATATAAATGATGCAGCTGCTTTGGAAAAGAGTTTGGAGGTTCCTCAAAATGCTAAACATAGCAGTATCATGTGATTTAGCAACTCTACTTCTAGGTATGGAGAATTGAAAACCATGTTCACACACAGAAAATTTATACCAATGTTCATAGTAGCATTATTTATAGTAGCCTTAACTGATAAATGTGATAGGTCCACACATCAGAAGACAAATAAAATACTGATGCTGTAACATGGATGAATCTTGAACACAAATATAAGTGAAACCACATATTTATGATTTCATTTATATGCAAATGTCCAGAATAAGCAAATCCATAGAGAGAGAAAGTAGACTAAATGTTTCCCAGTAGCTGAGAGGAGATGGATACTGGATTTCTTGGGGTGATGAAAATATTTTGAAATTAGGTAGTGGTGACAGTAGCATAACCTAGTAAATATACTAAACCCACTTAATTCTGCACACCTTAAATGTGTAGAATTATGGTATGTGAATTGTATCTCAACAGTTCATTTAAGAAAAAAAAGTAGAGGGAGACACAATGTGTGCGTTGTATAGGCAAATTCCTTAAAGTTCACATTTTGTGAAGGCCGAAGAGTGGAAGGAGCATGTAGGAGTACAGATACCTCATACTACTAGACGCCATGAAGACATTAAGAGCCCACTATTTCTCAGACACCGAGAGAAATCCATTTATTTTCTAAGCAAGCCTCAAAAGATAAACCTCACGCCAGTTATAAAGGTCACAGGCACAATCAACAGGCATACCACAGTAACTCAACCTGGAGATTCTCTCATCAACAAAGCTGGGCCTGCCCTTGACTACCCCTTAACGAATGCCAGGACCACCACCACCATCACCTCAAGACTGAGGTTACAGAAGTAGATATGAAGTCAGAAGACACACATATTCCTTGGGGTCTAGAACATTCCAAATGAGAAATACCAGGCCAAGCCATTTCCCCATATTAATATACACCGTTAAGAGGATATTGGCATGAGGCCTCCCCTGGTGGTGCAGTGGTTGAGCACAGGGCTACGAAGCTGCCTGCAGCCTCTGCAGCACTGGTTCAATCCCCGGCCACCAGCGAGGGTCCTACATGGTGTGACAGACCTCTCCTGCCGCGCCCACTGCTCCCCTCAGCAGTGTACTTCCGTCCGTCTGCCTGTTCTGTTCCCCGCTCTGTCTCTGGTGAATCCTCTCACCCTCCCGCGCTTCTGACTGTACCCAGTGCTTGTATAAATAAATCTTTAAAAAAATAAAATAAAACACAACATTGCCTTTAAAAAAAAAAAAAAAAAGAGGATATTGGCATGATTGAAAACTCAAAAATCAAAATGGAGAAAAGACTTTTCCTTGTCTTTTACTGAATATGTGCTGTGTGCTTGACACTTTACAGAAAGCATTTGAATTAATCTGCACAATAACTCTAATAAGTACCAAAGGAGAGATAAGTGATGTTAAATAACTTGCCAGCAAGAAGGCAGTAATTAGGGGGTGAAGGCATAATTCCAACTAAAGGAAATTTAGTCAAGTTAGGCAGGTTTCTGTATTAAAGTTATTTTAACCAAAATTTAAGTGAAAAGGGTAGAAGGATAAGGTTGTGTGCAGGATAAGTGTGTAGGATCTAAAGTTACAGAAATATCAAGTGAGGCTTGAATTATAATTTTCAATAAAAAAACTAGTCAATAAAAGAAGGAAAAAATAGGGCCTCCCAAGTGGCGCAGCGGGTTGAGCGCAGCACTGTGAAGCTGTCCACAGCCTCTGCAGCGCGTGTTCGATACCCCGCCAGCCAGGGAAGAGCCCCACATGGCACGGCAGACCTCTCCTATTGCGCCTGCTGCTCCTCTCAGCAGTGTATTTCGGTCCGTCTCCCTGTTCTGCTCCCCACTCTGCCTCTGGTGAATCCTCTCACCCTCCCGTGCCTCTGGCCTGTACCCCAGTTCTTGTATAAAAATAAATAAATCTTTAAAAAAAAAAAAAGGAAGAAAAATATTAACTTGAGCTTTTGGGTCAACAGCAGCATTATTCCGCTGGTAAAACCCTACTATATTCTATTTACATGACAATTCAAAATGTGTACAACCCAGAGAAATACAAACACACACAGACTCACACTCTCATAATTTCATAATAATGTCATTGTCCAGTAAGACTGGTTTGACTCCAAAGCCTAGACACTATTATCACACTATTCTGCTGTCCATAAAACCAGAAATTAGTAACTTTCTCAAATCATAAACAAAAAATCAAACATTAAAGTATTCCATTAAAACCAAGTGGTAAATGTATAAATTTGATATTTTTATTCTTTATTAATTTATTAATTGTATATATACCTTAAAAATTCTTTTATATTTACTGCACATTACTTAGTATTAAATAGTTTTCACAAGTCTGTAACAAGGTTAAAGAAAAATGGGCAAAGGTCCTAAAAAAAGAAAATTAAATACAGGATCAGATCTAGCAGAGATTAAGACTAAAATATTCATTGTCAGTGTGAGTCTAGGGAATCCAGCCTCGCCTCCACAGCACTCTGGATCTGGATGCTCCTGAATTACTTCATTCATATATTTATTTTTTAAATATTTTGCAAGTCTACATTTCTCTTGCCCATTAGTGTACTCTAATTAAAGAGTATCTTAATCCTTTTCATAGCTCCAGTACCCAACCAAGTGTCTAGTCTATAAATGGCACTCATGAATCACCTCAGTAACATGTCTGAGAAACACAAATCAGAAAATCAAAATTATCTGTGCCAGAGATAAGAGGAAAGGTAGCTAGACTCTGATAATATTACTCCCTAAGGCTTCTGCATCCTACCATATACCCAGTTACTGAAAGAAAAAATTCAGAATCACCCACAATTTCTCCTTTCCTACACAGAGATTAAGAATGACCAGTATATATTAATGAAAATGGAATGTCAAATTTTTTCAGATAGATAACAACTTATACTTTACAACTTAAAAGCTTCGTAAGCAGAGAGGTATGGTTCCCAATGAATAATCAATAATACTGTAAATCCCAGATTTCCCATTTCTATTATGTACACTATTAATAACAGCACACCAGTCAACTACTGTTAACAAAATAACTATCTGAAGTCCATTTTTAAGATACAACAGAAAAAATAATGAGCCACATTTTTATTCTAAGAAATGTTGCTAATGTTAAAGAAGTTAGTACATCAGAATGATTATGTAAGTTAGAACATACTTTTGTCCTAAGTCAAATAAAAACAATGGTTCTGAGGAGGAAAAAATTGTCTTGATTCCCAAACAGGACCCACTATTCTAAGTGTATCACTATTTCTAAGCATATTCACTAAAAACCAGAAAATGTACTCTAAAACAGTATTTAAAATAACATCCTTGTCTAAACTAGTTATGTTTTTGGTGATATTACTGGTGACATAATGATCCCTGCTCCCCTCTCTCCCCAAATAAGGATACTATTTTTTCAAAAATCACAAGCCATGTTAAAATCCTTCAATCTTTACCATCATTTCAACCAAAAAAAAAATTAAAAACAAAATAAAACAATTTATTCAATTCCTCACCCAAACTGAATCCAAACAAATTTGGAGCTTAATATAAACATCTCTTGCTTTTTAGGATTTGTGTAGAATAGCATTTAGTAACTAAAATGGATTGCATTAATTTAAGACACTAAGTTATATATAAGCTCATGAGTCTCTAAAATAACATAATAAAGGACATAATTTAAAATAACTTCTGACTGCTAAATTTTAAATTAAGAAAATTTTTGCATTCAGAACAATAAAGAGGGGGGGAAAGTCCAGACATTATTTCAGTCACTGACCCCAAAGTCAAAAGGCTTTAAAATTTTTTTAATGCAAATAAAGACTAATGATAAATACTAATGACTCCATCATAAAAGCTTAAAACTTTAAAAAGCTTTAATTTTTAGTTTTGTAACACAGATAATGTCATTTTAAATTTTCTTATATGAAAAACCTACTTTTTTCTTGAAGATCTGGGTAAAAGAGAATTCCATGGGAGTATATAAAATTCAATTCTCATCAAATAGCTACTGTAACCCAGCAAGAGAGGCATATTTCAACTATTAACTAACTTAATGAGGGAGCAGTATATATCTTCAATATTTTCTTTATCCTTAAATAAAGACAGAATGTCCATATAATGGTATGTATACAATAAAGATGGAATGTCCATATAATGGAATGTATACAGTAAATAAAAAAGAGAAGGAAGGTGGGTTAAATATTTTAGGTGAAAAGATAAAAGATATTTTAAGTGAAAAAAGGTATGGAGTCCTATGTTACTTTTAACATTAAAAGGGGCAAGTGGTGTGCATATGCTTAATTAGCTACATGTTTTAAGTGCTGTACATAAAAAATTAACTCTGGAAAAAGACATAAAAGGCTAACAAGAGGGCTCCCTATGGGAAGGGTAACAAGGTAATTGCAGGACAGGAAAAAATGGAAGCTTCCTCACTCTATTGTTTTGTAAGTTTTGATTTTTGAGCAATATGAATGTATGTGTACCAAAGAAAAAAATTAAAAGTACTTTACCTTGCACCATTGTTCCTAATGACTTCCACAGTTTCTTCAACAAAATATCGATCCTTGATATATGCAAAAATATCATCACAAATTTCATGTAAACGTGAACGATGGGTAAGGTTGGTCAAGTATAAAACTGGAATAATTAGTGGTTCTGGAAAACTCTGAAGATTCTGTCTTGCTTTTTTTTCTGACTCAAGTGCTTCCTGATAAGTCAGTCCAGGTCTACCCGTCACAGCACAACTCCACACAAGACTGTTGCACAGAATGGTTCGTTCAAAAAAGTCGCTGATTAAAAAACAAAAGCAAAAATCCATTACCTATCATTTCACAAACTGTATATGATAAAGGACTGTGGCTTTATTGAAAAATTTTACATAGACGGTAAAACTCAAATAAGGGTTTGATTAACTGGTCAACTTACATATTGATACACACCTAAGGAAAAATATATTTAGACTAGATGTTTTTATTTTACAATTTGAAAGGTACATTCAGCCAAAATTGAACTTCAATTTCTTTCAGTTTTGAAATTGGGAGTCAAGTCAAACTGAAAAACTCAACCTTTCTTTTCCTCTTAATTTTTAAGCTCTTTATTTGGAAGCAGTCAAAACACTGGAGTCATTTCAAGCACTTAACTATGAATTTTTAAAGACTTTAACATAAGTGGAAGAAATCTAAGCACCTAACAAAAGAGAAAGGTTAAGTAAATTATAGTACTTCACATAATAAAAAATCATAGTCATTAAACAGTGTAAGTAGAGTTCTTTAACATGTTAATACAAAAAAAAATTACAGTTTGACTCCCTCCTGTATCTTTTGAAAGTAAAAGCTTACCAAGATATGATGCTCTCACTTGTGTTTAAAAAAAAAAAAAAAAAAAAAAAAGCAGGAATAAAGAAAGATACCTAGAAAAGAATGAAAGATTTTCGGAATTTTTTTTTTAAAGATTTATTTATTTATTTATACAAGCACTGGGTACAGTCAGAAGCGCGGGAGGGCGAGAGAACTCACCAGAGCCAGAGCAGGGAACAGAACAGGCAGACTGACTAAGAAATACACTGCTGAGGGGAGCAGTGGCCGTGGCAGGAAAGGTCTGCACGCCATGTGGGACCCTGGCAGGGGGCCAGGGATCGAACTGGTGCCACAGAGGCTGCAGGCAGTTTCGCAGCCCAGCGCTCAACCACAGCGCTCAACCGCTGCGCCACCAGGGGAGGCCCAAGATTTTTGGAATGTTATACAAAAATCAAGTAACAGCAACTGCATTCTACTCTGCTTTTCTGCTCTGACAGTGTTTAACATGAGCATTTATCTCTTTGCAAAAATTCTACCTAGTCACTTCTATAATGCCAAGAGACCTAAATATGGAAATTTTTTTTTTAAATGTTTTTAACTTTTTTTTTTTATAGAGGCATTTTTATTTATTTATTTGTTTGTTTGTTCGTTTGTTTTGTTTATACATGCACTGGGTACAGTCAGAAGCGCGGGAGGGTGAGAGAATTCACCAGAGCCAGAGCGGGGAGCAGAGCAGGCAGAAGGACCGAAGTACACTGCTGAGGGGAGCAGCGGGCGGCAGGAGAGGTCTGCGCACCATGTGGGACCCTCCTCCAGTGGCCGGGGAGCAGCCGGGAATCGAACCGGCGCTGCAGAGGCTGCCGGCAGCTTCGCAACCCAGCGCTCAACCGCTGCGCCACTGGGGAGGCCCTAAATATGGAAATTTTTAAGGTAAATCAAGTAAAAAAAAATTTAAATCACTGAATAATACAATCTCATTTATACTAATTACAATACCAAAATGTGTATATTTATACAAATACTGTAAACAGATGTTCCCTCTGGAGAAAGGGAATGGAAAAGAAAAAGGAATTTTTATATTGTTTGAAATTTCATAATGAGTTTGAACTGTTATAAGAAGCATGTACTTGCATTATTTTACAATATTTTCCCCCCAGGGTAATATTTTTTAAATAGAAAAAGTAAAATATGCAAAAGGTTAATAATGGTCGCCTCTAAGTGGTAAGATATGGGTAAATATTTTTCTCATCTCTATACTTTAGTGTACTTTTCAATAATTACATTTAACAAACATATATGGTTGGTAAACGTTTTCCTGAAATCCCTTTTTCCTTCTACCATCTTCCTGATTAATATATCTGTATAGGTTAGCTCTGATATATTCTGATCTCTAAAGATGATTTAGGGTAATTCCATTAAGAATTTTATTTAGGGGGCCTCCCTGGTGGCACAAGGGGTTGAGACGCAACCTATGGGGCTGTCTGCAACCACTGTACCATGAGTTCGGGCCCCGGCCAGGGAGCTGCCCACCTGGTGCAGCAGACCTCTCCTGGCTTGCCCGTGGCTCCCCTCAGTAGTGTGTTTCCATCAGTCCACCTGTTCTGTTCCCCACTCTTGTCTCTGGTGGGTCCTCTCACCCCCCACATCTCTGGCCTATACCCCAGTTCTTGTATGTGTGGATGGATAAATCTTTAAAAAAAAAAAATTTTTACTTATATATTTGTCTGTAGAACCACCACCAACCAAAAAAAAAGAAATCCATGGAAAGAGAAATGAATTGTACTTTAACATAAATGAGCTCTAAAAAGATAGTATGCGTAAGTCTTATTACATGACTCTAATTCAGTACAAAGGAGAACTTTTTGAAGTATGTACTCTTTAATAGAGGAGATTATAGATGCACATCAGTAAAATACAAAATAAAAAGTGTTTATAAGACAGAGACAGATATCCTGTGGGAATTTAGTGGAAGGGAAGAGGAGGCAGGCAAAAAAGATCAGGAAATACCAGAACATTTTTTTGGAGGAAGTGGCATTAAGAGTCAGGCCCAAAAGGAAAAATAGAGTTGAAGAAAGAAATACCAGAGAGAAAAAAGATGAACACAATCTGGTTCTTCTAGCAAGAAAATCTGTGTCAGATAAATTATTAGCTAAGAGAGAAGCAACAGACATAATAGGTGGTTATCAGTTGTGCAGAATTAAATGAAAGAATCGCCATACTTTGAAAACTGTCTTATATAATCAAAAATTTTACTGTTTAAATCTGTAGGTTCACTTAGAGAGCTTCATTAAAAAAAATTTTTTTTAACGATTTACTTATGCATACAAGAACTGGTGTATAGGCCAGAGGTGTCGGGGGTGAGACGATTCACCAGAGACAGAATGGGGAAAAGAACAGACGGATTGACTGAAATACACTGCTAAAGGGAGCAGCGCATGAGACAGGAGAGGTCTGGTTCAGCTCCCTGGCCAAGGATTGAACTAGTGCTGCAGTGGCTGCGGATAGCTTCATAGTGCTGCGATTTAATCCCTTGCTCCACCAAGGTTAATATTCAAAGCTGACAAGAGTTAATACATAATGTATCTGAGTTATACGTCCAATAATTTAAACTATTCCTAGCATTACTTAAGACAAATATACTTCAAATCAAGATATCTTACATATTAACCAGTCTCTAAATCAATGCTAGAAGAAATAGAATGCTGGCCACACATACAACTAAAAAAATTTAGTGGTCACATTTCTTTAAAAAGAAATACTAATGAAATTAATTTCATTTAACCCAATATATCCTAATTTCATTTCAACATGCAACATAAATGCTGAAAATTTTAACCTTTTTTTTAGCTAACTCTTTAAAATCTAGTATGTATTGTGTATTCACTGCACATCTTGCTCAAGTTACATTTCAAGTTCTTTACTATCACAGCCAAGTAGTGGTTTCCATATTGGATAGCACAACTCTAGTCATAGCAGATCAACATTTGGTAGTCTGGGAAACTGGTAGTCTATGGGTATTTGGTTCTATGGTAGGTCAGTGTAAAGCGAGTTGCAATAAAAGGTATTTAAATTAGTTAACAATGTCTAAAATACCAAGAAGAGCAATGGCACAAGTGCCACAAACCTCTACTAAATGTGTTACTTGCCAGAAAAATAAGATAGTAACCACTGATGTCTAGCTGCCTTTCCATACCCACATTTTACCTTCATCCAGAGTCTGTGCTTTTTGTTTCCTTTGTGCCTATCTACTCCACAAAGTAGTAGTTACAGATACCCTTGCTGTACAAAAAGATCTATCTTCAGGAGAGAGGAGGCAGGGCACACTACTACACTGAACATTTTAAAGTAAGGGGAAAAAGCCCAAGGGCTATTTCTCCCTATTTATCACCACCATAACCACCCCCATCCCCAGGGTAGCACCATCTCTAATATTACATAACTTCACTCTCTACTATTTCTGTAATTATGTTCTTCAGCCATTTTTTATATACATACAAATGCATACAGATTTTATTAATACTGAACTTGAAAGGGCAGGATATAAGCCTCTCCAATTTCTGTATAACTATATAAAATGCTGAAACTTTTACAAGAAGCACATTTTACTATTGTGACAAAAATTATAAAATACATAGTATTTAATAATTCTCTTTACTGGAAAAGGGCATAGTGTATTGGCTTGGAGGCCAAACCCAGGCATGCACCTGTTTTTATAATTGTATTGGAATTCGGTCACAGCCATATCTTTAGGTATTACCAGTGACTGCTTTCTCTTTTTTTCTTAATATTTATTTTTATTTATGCATACGAGACCTGGGGTATAGGCCAGAGATTATGCAGGGAGTGAGAGGATTCACAGAGACAGAGTGGGGAACAGAACAAGCAGACTAACTGAAATACACTGCCGAGGGGAGCAGTGGGCGAGTAAGAAGAGGTCTGCTGCACCATGTGGGTTGCTACCTGGCTGGCCTGGGATTGGGGATTGAACTCTGTGCTGCAGAAGCTGCAGATTGCTTCACAGTGTGGTGCTTAAGTCCTTGCGCCACAAGGGAGGCCCAATGACTGCTTTCTCTTTACATCTACCAAGTTGGGTAGGTGCAACAGACAACCTGTGACCTGCAAAGCCTAAAATATTGATTATCTAGCCTTTGAAGAAAAAGTTGGACAACCTCTGTTCTTTATAATGAAAAACTGCTTCTAAATTACCAGGTTGAATACTGGTTAAGAACTCACCACTAACATAAAGTCAACCTCTGGTGAATAAACAGAAACTTAATGTTAATTTGTTGTGTGTTGAGAAAACTAAAAACCCAGTAGAATAAATTTAAGAATGAAGTAATATAAAAATCAGAACCAAATACAATTTCAGGCATAGTTTTGGACCAAAGTGTATTCTACTAAATGGTATTAATCAGACATAGAACAAGCTAATATTAAGCAAAATGATCAAAGGGACATATACGGGCGCAAGTGGTTAAAAATGCAACCTATGG